CAGAAGATTTTTTTTTGAAGCTGAAGTGTTCCTTGACCCGTAATCCCGTAAAGCTTAAATCATGTCCAATGGGCTATCCTTCCATTTAAGCAAAGCCAAATATGACGATAATTTCCTGCAAAACCCCTGTCAACATAGCCTCCATAGCATGCCAAAAACTGGGGTTTTGGGGGTCTTCATGGTCTTTGGGAGCTTTTATGTGCTATTTTCTGCTTGCATATAGACAACATAGCCGGCCTGGTTGAATTACCAACCACGTTACAGGCCACAGCATTCTACTCTGATTGGTCAGTACATTTCTGACACTGCTGTGCTTCACCGAATCAGATCGTGTGTAACCTATGACGCATCTTTCTAATACATCGTGACGTTCGAGCTATTACGAGCTATTTAGACATAATAAACAACGTCAGCAGGTTTAATTTGGGTCCGTTTAGGGGAAGTCCCGTCGTTTCGTCGAAAACAACTTCCTTGAAGGCTCGCAAACTTTTCGTTAGATCAAAAAGTGGAAGACAAGAAATGAAAACGTCCCTCTATTTGCTCATAAGATCTACACATAAATGAAAATGAATATCTTAAGCGGCAAAGCATCTGAATACATGAATTCTGTTTCTTGACTAATATCATCTTACCAAGCAGATACGGGGACGTGCTGCATACTTTTACACCATACCGTCATACCTACAGAAGTATTACTAGCAGATTTACTTCAGAAGATTTCCTTATTGAAGCTGAAGTGTTCCTTGACCCGTAATCCCGTAAAGCTTAAATCATGTCCAATGGGATATCCTTCCATTTAAGCAAAGCCAAATATGACGATAATTTCCTGCAAAACTCCTGTCAACATAGCATGCCAAAAACTGGGGGTTTTGGGGGTCTTCATGGTCTTTGGAAGCTTTTATGTGCTATTTTCTGATTGCATATAGACAACATAGCCGGCCTGCTTGAATTAACCCAGTTTTTAGAACTGGGCTGATCAGAAAACAGCCGAAGACCACCAAACCTCCAGTTCTATAAGCCTGCTACGGAGGCTATGTCAACAAACTAAAATACCGTATCATGACAGTCCCTATTCTTCTAGCTTTACCATAGGTCAGAGAGTTAGATTAAATGGTTATCATTGTGAGTCTACAAACAACATGGAGAGTATGAAATCGTGTCTTACCAGACGAATGAGAAATGTTGATCAAAACTGACTGAGTGGTGCTTCTCTCGCCAGTTCACCAGCAACAATGACTGTCTGCGTGCGCAAGGTGTGTTCTTTTAAACGCCCAAAGTGCCTAGGGCGTCTGTACATGACGTATGAAATGTCCTTGGTATCCAACCAATTGGGCAGAACGAGTTACCACCACAAAAAATGACAAAAGTTGGAGATGTAGCGAAGCAATCGTGAGCAAGCAATGGTGACTGTGAGGAAATGACCACATCAGGGTTGTAAAAGAAGGAATTTGAGCCATTTATTTTGACTATACAACTTTTAAAAAACTGACGAGGTTCACAGCCAATTAAGTCCTTAACATAATTGTGGTGCAAGCTTTGACATGTTTGTGCCAGCAACACAGGTTTTCCCTGAAGGCAAATCATGATAAGGAGTCATATGACGACAATCAGTGTGCTTTGAGATACATACAGATACTGATCTTGAGAGAATACTCATGAACAAAGTAACATTCGAGCTTGAGGCTTGACACATGGTTTTTAAAACACTCGAAACTAGAGTTTAGTGAGATCTTTCATATGCCGCATCTCGTGGTGTCACGAGATGCGGCATATGAAAGATGTCAGTTCGCTAAAAGTCGACAAATGTTTTGCAAAGTGAGGCAATGACGTACACCGCGACCGAATTGTCGTCACGATGGACGTCACTCCTGGTTGATACCAACTTTGGCGGTTGGTGGGGGTGGGCAGGACGTTACTTACACCGCATAAAATCCCTCGTTTCCGTGTGAGAAATTGCCGCACACTTTCCCGGATATTTTAGGTTTCCGGTAGAACCCGGGGGTTTCCGACCTGCACACGAAACGTGTCCAGTCCCGTACATGTCCTGTAAACTCCCGGAAATGAACCACTTTTTGTGTGCAGGTCGTGTACTGGACGTTATATGCCCGGACACGATCCCTGTACATCCCCGTACACGGCAGGAAATGGCCGTGCACCGCTCCGTGCGTTGCTGGAATATGCATAATTTAGCGGCAATTATCACCTAATTATTCTCCACACGGCAGCGGAAATTCGCCGTGTACGGGTCGGACATGCCGGT